GAGAGAGAGAGAGAGAGAGAGAGAGAGAACGGGAGAGAGACAGAGAACGGGAGAGAGACAGAGACAGAAAGATGACATGCCTGAAACCAAAAGCAGCCAAATTCTTGGGCCATGGCACTTTCTACTACATGCAATTATACTCTACAGACAATTGCTGTGATGAACGGAGTGGAGTTTCGAACCCGGCACAACGACTACAGACTTGTGCGAGCCTCGACCACCAGCAACGACTTCCTGGCGACAGAAGATCTGGACTTCCCGCCCGTCCCCCCAGAGGTCACAGACAAGGACTCTGTTCAGGTGGGTTTGAATCTGCTGGACGTTTTCACTTTTTGGGAGGAGGGGAAGGGGAATAATATTACTTTTTGCCAAACAACGAGTTACCCCTGCGGTGCCTGCAACACATGAAGACTATCTCGCTTAATAGTGGATCAAATTTTACCAAATTTTTCATATTATAACAAGCATAGTGAGGAGTCTTCAAACCTGCAATCAAATTTGAGAAAAGGTTTCGCTGCCATGAAGACGGCGACTATTATAATGGATTTTGTTAACATGTCTTTTACAATGAATACCTTGCTTTTTTTTCTTGGAAATAGGTTGTTATTCTGCATGCATGTTAGCAGAAAATAATCTACATGAATGTATTTTGAATGTTCCATAAACAAATTAGAACATTTTTCATGAATTGTTTCCTGAGGCAGTATTCAAGTTTGCAAAAAAAAATCCTTGAAAATCCACACTCCAGATACCAATAACAAAAATCTATTCCGTATATTCAACAGACAAATTCAACAAACAAGTATTTAGTTACTAGTTTTACATCTTATCTTCATTCTGTGAAAATTTCATGAAGATTGGATGGAAAATAGTGGAGTGATTCAATAGGTATGTAGAAAAACCACATTTTGAGAAAACAGGCAAAAAATAAATAAATATTGACTCATTAGGATAATACGACAGTGACAAACAACATGCTTGGTATGTGAAAAATAAGGTTTGTTTTAGGGAGTTCTTATAGGATGAAATAGTAGTAAGCGAGACTGAAGAAGAAGTTAAAAAAATGCCTACATCTCAAAATCCATAATTCTGACCCGAATTGGGACGGACTTGATAACCAAAAATCATTGTTTCTCACCCCCTCCCCCCACCCCACACATTCCTC